GAAAATTTTTGTTTAATTCTTCAATAAATTACTTCTATATTAAAGATTATTTAATAAAAAACCTAATAAAATTAAAATATATTTATTAGACCCATATATTTATTAATTACACTAATTACAACATATTTATTTCAAGTAATAGTTTAATACATAATATATATCACGTATTTAGTAAATAACGGTTTCTAAGGACAATTACAAAACCAGGAAATTAATAAACAGTTTACAGAGTAAAAAGAAAAATAACTGTAAGAGAAAAAACAAATCACATTTATATGCAATAAAAAATCTTATATTACTTACGAACTGTTATATTACCCTTTAAAAACAAAGATTAAGGAGAAAAGTCTCCCTAACCCTTTGTGGCCTCCGCATCACCCCTTATAGCCACCCTATCCACCCAAATGAATTTTAATTGTGAAAGCGTTAACAAATATTTAATTTAGTTTTAACACTTATGCCAAAAAATCAATTTAAAAACATTTTAACTATCATTCTAAGTTACAATTATATAATATAACAGTTCATAAAGTAAAAGACAAGAAAACAAATGAAATTTCAATGAAAATATAATAAAAGGCAAAAAAGAAAATGATGTCTTTGTTATTCTTGGGAAATACCTCATAATCTGAAAGCAAAAAGTGCAATTACAAGGACTAACGGCAAATACTAATAGCTTTGGTAGAGAAGATCGGACAGATTTCGCCAAGGCAAGCTGGGCAGTCGCCTATTGCTCCTATTCCAGATAACCCACTGTACCCTGTCTGAAAGGAAGTAACGCTAGAGTAAACTCGCGAAAAGTGTATAAGACACTTTTAAGATCAACTAGCTAAGCCCAAGGGAAGTCGGGGAGGCCCTCCCTAGTTTCACAAGGGTGAGAAGAGAAAAGAACACGATAACGAAAGGTTCAATCATGCAGAAAACGTAGGGTAAATGCGAAGCAATTTAGTAAGAATATGCAGTAAGCTAAGCGAAGAGGTAAGCAAGACATGTTAGGCCAGTACTATCAAAAAAAATTAACGTGTTAGTACAGTAATTACTACTATTATAAAAAAATAATATCTACAATTAAAAATTAATTCAAATAAAATAAACTGAAATCAGCATGCAAAATAAAAACGAATTCAAACAAAACATGCAAAATAGAGAAGTATTTACACTACGGGATCTTCTTTGCCTTCTCCACCGACGATCTGAAACAAATAGGATAGTAACAGATTAATAATGAGCAATTAATATTGATTATGTCATGCATTCTCACCTTAATTAACTGCAGAATCTAATGTGGCAAAGTCAACAAGTACGAATAGCTAAGAAAATTCTGGAAAAATGATGTTATTGGAGATTAATTGAAATCCAAATCCAAGGTGCTCTTCTAACTCATTCGTAGAAAATGAAATGTACAAGTTGCAGGATGCAGACATTAACAGCAAGTTAAGGATCATGTCCACAAAAAATGCAAAATTAACTCCATGGTCATAATCTGTAGAAACAAACAAAAAAATATGAATTAAGTAAGTGTAGTGACTAAACAACAAAAATTGTAAATCAATGTTCCCCAATGCTTTTTGACTTTTTCTACACTTTTCTCTCAACACATTGCAATCCAGTGAATTTTGATAATGTTCTTGACAAATTAATTAATTGTTACCTTAAAGAAGTACTGAATGATAATTTAGTCTCAATTGTAAACAATTTGATAACAAAATGTAAAGCAATAATCAAAAGGAGGATGCTATAATCCAACAGATTACTATCCTCATTTGTCTCGACTCTGTTTTCATATAATGAACCACAGGAAGAAGCAGAAAATATGTAAAACAATAATGTTGAGTGCCATAGAAGTATTTATTACAATACCAACAATTCATAACTTGTTTATAACAAATATCCAATTGGTAATCAAGACATAAATGATTAGATTCTTTTTCTCTATGTCGCCAAATCACAGTTCTATTAACAAATATATTACAATTGACGTTATTTTTTTTACTATATTTCCCTTGAAATCGGTTATGAATTTACAATTTGTTAATAATTAATCTCCAAGAAACAATTATAACATGAGCAATTGAAGTACCTTTTTTCTATGTTGCCGAACCACTGCTTCATTTACAAATACATTAGAAGACATGTTATTTTTTTATGATTTTTTTCTTGAAATCAGTAATAAATTCACAAACCTTTTAAAACTAATTTCGAAAAGAAAATTATCATCTCATGAACAATTAAAGAAGCTTCTTTTTAATGCCACTAAATCATTGTTTTATTAACAAAAATATATTACAGTTGATGATATGAATTTTTTTACTACTTTTCCCTTGAAATCAGTAATAAATTCATAGTTTGTTTACATTTACAATTAATTAAAAATAAATTTGTGAAATTATCAAATGCTTTATGCTGTACAAAAAAAATTTTCTTCTTAATCAAAGTCTAATCAACTTTAATAAATGTTATCACATACCTCTGTGCTGGTGCCAGTCGACAGATTAGACTTTAGCTGCAGATATTACATTGTCTACTACCACTAGAAAAAAGGCAAGCTCATGTTTCCTTTATGTACTGCAATGTGTTGAGATGTCAAGAAATCACTGCAAAAAGTTTCGAGATGATGCGTCAGGCCAAAGTCCAAATTATGCCAGAGCATGGAATTAAAATTACCTTCATGCTCATAATCTGTAGAAACGGACAAAAAAATGAATTAACTAAGTGCAGTGACTACACATGAAATAAAAGTTGTGAATCAATTTTAGTGTAATATCACAAGCGGGGCTTACACTCTTACCTTCATGATGTTTAAGACGTTTCCACGTGAAGAAGGCAAGAACAAACGAAGCACAGTAGGAACCATATCATCATGCACCATCCACTTGGAGATACTTAATAACATCTAAATAAACTTCAATATGCTTTCCATAAGAAGCCGATCTATAAAAAAGAACGAGAAATAACGAATTAACTGTATTATTCATGAACGATACATGATATTAAAACATAATTACAACGCCACTCTGAACATGGGCACACATATGTCACAGACGGTCACAGACTTATTGCAAAACAATACATACACAATATCCCATTGAGTAAGAGAACGATTAGATACGTTCAGAAATATTAATCTAACAACAAATATAAAATTGCAGTTCAATTACAAATTTTAAAATTTATTCTACTTAGATTAAAAAAAAACTAACACAGCAATAGTTATTTGATGTGCTAGCAGCTACCACATTTACAATTACTTTAAAGTTAATGTTAATTTGTCAAACTAAATTCTGAAGCTTTATGCAGTACAATTATAGCAATGCACTCACTTATAAATTCACCATTTGTTGATAACAAATTACCAAAAAAATAATTATGGCACGAATGATAAAATAAGTGTCTTTTTTATGACGCTGACCGACTGTTTTGCTAAAAAATTCATTAGAATTGATACTATTATTTACAATTTTTTTTTGAAATCTGTAATAAACTTGTGATTTGTTAAAAACAAACTTCGAAAATGAAATTGTGGCATGAATGATTAAAGAAACTTTTTCTCTATGTCACTAAACCGCAGCATTCTTAAAAAATATATTACAATCGATGTTATTAATTATTCAGGATTATTGCCTTGAAATCAGTAACAAATTGATAATTTGTTTATAACAAATTTCCAAGAGGAAATCAAGACATAACTGATTAAACAACTTTCTTTCAAGTTTTATTAAGAAATACATTACAATTGATGTTATTGTTTTTACGACTTTCCTCTTGAAATCAGTTATAAATTCATAATTTGGTAATAATTAATTTGCAAGATAAAATTATGTTTGATGGCAAAAAAA